TAGTACGGAAATAGCTTAGCCAAAACAAGAAACCCAGAGGAAGGGTGGCAGCAGAATTGGCTACTTCAGGGCTCAGTGCACCACCAGAAACACAGGGTACTCATCTTCCTGCTCTGCTATCCTGGGAGTATTGGCTTTGCCCTCAGGCAGGTTCTCCTGGTCATCTAATGGCAGCAGCAGTTACAGACATCTTATCTAGATAAAACAGCCAATGGAGAGAGGGATGGTCCCTTCCTTAGGATGGGGATATAGGGTTCTTCAAAAGTTCATGAGAAAGGAAATTAAAAGATAAGTTTATTTGGATGCAAAAAGATTTGGAAATCCATGCGTATTAGCAGTCTTTAAAAATGTTATGGGAGGCCGGCACCGCGGCTCACTAGGCTAATCCTCTGCCTGCGGCGCTGGCACCCCGGGTTCTAGTCCCGGTTGGGGCGCCAGATTCTGTCACGGTTGCTCCTCTTCCAGGCCAGCTCTCTGCTGTGGCCCGGGAGTGCAGTGGAGGATGGCCCAGGTCCATGGGCCCTGCACCCGCACCTGGCTCCTGGCTTTGGACTGGCGTGGTGCACCGGCTGCAGCGGTCATTGGAGGGTGAACCAACGGAAAAGGAAGATATTTCTCTCTGTCTCTCTCTCACTGTCCACTCTGCCTGTCAAAAAAAAAAAAAAAAAAAAGTGTTATGGGAAATGCATATTATGAGGAAGCTGTGAATGGACTTCACAAAAATGTTATTTAACTAAATAAACTTAATCGTTTCATCTCATTTTTTCCCCAGGAACTTTTAAAAATACCCTGAATGTTTCTTAGGAGCTTCTCAGGAGGCTCCCCTTTAGTCTCATTGGCCAGAATTCCACTGCTTTTGTCCCTGAAAACACTGCCATCTACATGGGAAATGACACCCACAGTGCCTGGACCACGGGGAAAGGAGTAGGATCTGTCTTCACCATAGACATGGCCATGAGGCAGGGAAGGGGGACTGTCACTAATGAGGAAATGAACTCTCAGATTTAGGGACCTAAAAGAATAGGTGTCACTGATTCATAAGAAAATCATTGTGATTGTGAGAGCATACTTTGAAAGGGAAGCAGAAAACAGACATTGCCTTTTATGCTATGTCAGGGACTTATACCTTAACTTCTAGGTGATGGGGTGGTGCCACTACTAGAAAGATTTCATACTATATAGTTTTAAGAAAATAATATAATTTTTAGGGACATGCTCAATGTATCTTCAGATGGCCAATTGTAATAATTCATGAGGTCTAGAATACCAGGAAAAGTGTATGAATAATGTACATACTTGTATGTAACACACACACACACAATGAAAGACATTTACATTTTAAAACGACTTAAATCAGTACTTACTTTTATGTTAATTCTATCAAATGATTATTCTGTCAAATAATATTTCTGATCATTGAGCAATTAATTATCAATCAATTTATCAATCACAGACCTCTTTTTTCTTTTCTTTTAAAGGAAAGAAAATAAGAAATAGGAGCAAAACAGTTTTTTTAAACTTTTATTTAATAAACATAAATTTCCAAAGTACAGTTTTTGGATTACAGTGGCTCCCCCCCCCCCCCCGTGACGTCCCTCCCACCCGCACCCCTCCCATCTCCTGCTCCCTCTCCCATTCCATTCACATCAAGATTCATTTTCAATTATCTTTATATACAGAAGATCAATTTAGTATATATTAAGTAAAGAATTCAACAGTCTTTTTTACAACCTAACTTTCCGTGGCAGTCTTTGTGGTTTAATTAGAAAATAGCTCCCCCTTGTGACCAAATTCAGCTAATCGGTCACAGCAGCAAAAATGAAGCAAATTTTAAGTCTCCAGGAAGAAGGAGGAAGCAGGAAAACAGGAAAAGGCTGTCCTCTTCAGGATGATATTATTGTTACATTTCTTATGTTAGAAATTGCTGGTTCACAAGCACTTGAAACATTCCCTGTGCTTATACTGGCATAGTCAATTCTGATTGCTAGCTAATTCCAAAAGCACAATTATATTTGATCCACCCTGTGGAAAAAGTGTTTCTTAAAAAGTTCATTGTTTTCTGCATTTTTCTGTATTTACTCTTGGCTTTCACAATACGTACAAGATGAAACCATCCTAATAAGCATTTTAAATTAATTTTCCCCAAAGATTATCAACTACAATTAGATAGGTAATGGAGAGTTGTTGGAGAGTGAGTGGGGATTTAAAAATGAAATGAAATAGGAAATTAGATAGTTAAAGATGATTTCTAAAATTTGGAAATTTTCAAATCAGCTGCCTTGGATAATATCTCTTAATCCTCATGTACTATTTGAAGTAGTGCCATAGTCATGAATTATTTTAGGCAATCACATTTCATGGCCATTTTTTGGAAGACAAAAAAGAATAACTTACCAAGAAACTTCAGGTCTTAGAAAAATACTGAGGCAAATCAGCCAGTAGTTTGCAGAATAATTTTTCAAAAAACCAACATATCTTTGTAGAGATGAAAGTACACAAATGTAATTGAAGACTAAAATGAACGTGTTGATTCAATTATCCTGAATAGCAATAATAGTAGTTAATATCATTTGTTCTAACATTTATAGAGGGCTTACTATGAGCCAGGCATTGTGCTAAGGGCTCTCTATATATTGTCTCATATAATACCATTGTTATCTAATTCACATTTCACCAATAAGAAAACTAAGGCTTAAAGGGTATAAATAATATGTCCATGCTGAAGTCACAGAGTCAAATGGCTCAAACCCACTGGGTCATGAACTCTTATCCACTATATTTGTTGGAAACCAGGATTGGTATCTCCCAGCTCACATCTTCCAATCCCCCGCATTTTAAGTTGTATTTAGTTTGGTCATGGGTAATCAGTTCAATCTGTAACATCTGGGTAAAGGGCAACCTTCCACATGACGTAATCCTCAAGTTGCTCAACAAAGTCCTTGTTGTTAATAGAGCCCACTGGGGTCAATTAGAGAATCAAAAGTCAAAGGGCAGAAGAGTGTGGCATTTTGACAAGTGAGAGAAAGGCCAAGGATTTAATCTGGGAAGAGTCTTCAGATTCTGGTAGGGGCAAGGATTTATACTTTCTGGTACTTTCTGTAGTATGTACTATTAGGTAATAACTGTACTCCCTAGCACATGGAATCAAATTTTACTCTGGTTTGCTTCAGCCACAACTGTGGCTCTAGATGTGGTTTGCGAAGGAATAGAACATTGCTGTTTTCAACTGAATCAATTCTGGGAAACTCATCCTATTCACCCACAAATAACAGCACTATTTCATCCCCTGCCCTCCACCACTATTTTCCTTGATGTCTCAGCCAAAGGCTCTGCTGGATTGGAGTCATAAACAGAACAGGTACCAAGCTGGTATTTATTGAATGAATGGAGGAAATGAAACAAGTGAGTCTTAAATTAGAAGGAGGAATAACCTAGATAAAAGAGAGGGAGGAGAAACCACATAAAAAGGAAAGAACACTATGATGACTTGGCAGGAAATGAGCTTTTAACCTAGTAGTTAGACGCTGGTTAAGACACACACACACTCTACATTGGAGTACCTGGGTGTGATGTCCTGATCTGGCTCCTGATTCCGGCTTCCTGCTAATGAAGACCCTGAGAGGCAGCAGTGATGACTCAAGTAATTGTTCTTTCCATCAACATGGGAGACCTTGATGGAGTTTCTGGTTCTTGGTTGTGGCCATGGCCCAGCGTTGTTTGGGAACCATAAATACGTGAACAAGGCTGGAGGCAGGGCCATGTGATAGAAGAGTAGTGCCTCCTAGTCATAGCTAATAGGACACTGTAGCCCACCGTCTTTGCTTCCATCTCTCACCAGCTATGTGTCTGCATTAATTATATAACGTCTCTGTGTCTACCTCATGAACTGTTGGAAAGATAAAATGAATTATAACATGAGAAGTGTTTAAAACTATGTCTAACACGTAGTGAATAGTACTCAATACAGAAGAACTCCTACTGATATTATCATGAGTTCATGTGTGATGAGATAGGCAGTAGGGTTCTATATTGAAAGGAGGACAATTAAAGCTTTTTGCCAAATATCAGAGTTTTGGAAGCTTTGTAAGAAAAGGGGAGAAAGTGTGTGGTTTGAATTTTAGAAAGGTCGTTCCAGTATATGGACAGAGGATAGAATGAAGGTAACAAAATTGAAGATAGGAAGACCAATGAAGATGCAATTGCAAGTAATCCAGATAAAAAGAGATGGGGAACTAGACTGAGTCAGTGCCACACGCCATAGAGGGGGAGGGAGTAAGCAGGTACAGCCATGATGCTGAACACCTGAATCTAAGCTGTCAGGCCTGGCAGGAGGGTGAGTGAAGTTCCCAATCACTGAGAATGGGAACTCCAAGAAAGGAGTGGACTTAGAGGAAGGCGGGGGAGTTTAGTTCTGTACATGACATCTTTGACTTGGGATAAACTGTCGTGAGTTTAAAGAGAGCAGACAAGTACTCATATCTGATATGCAATAGATAAGTTAGAACCTTTTGATAAGAACACTGGCCAATTTACTAGATGGGGCTGTTTATATTTTTTGTATGAAGAACAACCATTTTTTGTTATTTCCTTAAACTGCTATCTCTGCCTTGATTAAAATATTAGCATTGGAAAGATTAATTAATGCCATCCAGAATGCAGTGAACTTCTGAGATTCTCTTGGCAATCCAAGAGCATTATCCTCCACTGGGAAATAGCAGGGACTGAAATGAAGACACTTGTGAAATCAAAGGCATACACTATTGATTAGACCATCTTGTGAGGATTTTGTTCATTGATCATCTTTGTAGGATCTTGCCTTTGTCTGAGACATAGAGTATGTATGTAGTAATTGCTTAAATGTATGCATAGGGATATAATATTGATGCGTATATATGTAAATGTGTGTATTTATATAAATACATATAAAGCATTTCTAGTTTCAAACTTTTCAGCCACTCAAAAATCTTAAATAACTGCAATTTGTCAACTTTCCCCCATAGGTATTTCTGATGAATATATAACACCTATGTTTAGCTTTTACAAAAGTGTTGGGGAATTGAAAATGACTCAAGAAGAGTATGCACTTCTTACGGCAATTGTTATCCTCTCTCCAGGTAATTTCAGTGTTTCACTTAAATTTCTATGCCAATAGTCTTTTTTCTCAGTTACATAGTCAGTGTTTCTTTCTAGAGCCTGAAAAACAGGAATGTAAAGAAAAAGGAAAATAATTTTACTATTCAAAATGAATTTATTGTAAGCATTTCAGTGTACTTCTTGGTCTTTTTTTTGAAAAAATCACACTCATTTGATAGTTACACATTTAACATCTACTGTCTACCGAACATTGTTCTAGATATTGGAGATACAGCAAGATTATAGCTCACATGGAGTTTACATTATAGTAGGATGAGAAAGATAAGTGAAGGAACAAATGAAAGTGGTTTTTCAGGAGATGGTAAATACTCCAAAATATAAAATATCAGAATATTAGGAAAGGGGATCAGGTGTTCGGCTAAGTGGTTAAGACATCTGTGTCTCATATCAGGGTGTCTGGCTTTGACTCTAGGCAGATTCCTGACCCCAGCGTCCTGATAGTATGCACCCCGGGGGACAGCAGTGATGGCTCAGGTAGTTGGATTCCAGTCTTCCGCATGGAAAACCTGGATTGAGTTCCTGGCTCCTTACTTTGGCCCTGACCCAGTCCCAGCAGGAGCAACATTTGGGGAGTGAACCAGCACATGGCAGCTCTCTGTCTCTCTGCCTCTTTCTCTGTCTCTAAAATAAATGAATGAATTTTTAAAAGAATATAAGTAAAGAAAGTAACGGAAGAATGCTATTTTAATATTTTCCTAGGTGGTTGCATTTGAGCAGGGATTAAATGAAATTTGTACTTTTTCTTTGGTGTTTTTTTTTTTTTTTAATTATTCTAAAGGCAGAGTCACACAGAAACACACACACACACGCACACACACACAGAGAAACAAAGAGAGAGAAATTTTCCATCTGGTGATTCCCTCCCCAAATGGCTGCGACAGCCAGGGCAAGGCCAGCCTGAAGCTCCAATCCAAAACCACCATCTGGGTCTCCTATGAGAGTGGCAGGGGCCTGAGCACTTGGGCTATCATCTGCTGCCTCCTGAAGCACATTAGCAGGAAGCTGGATTGGAAGACAAGCAGCTAGGACTTGACGTGGCGCTCTGATATGGGATGCTGGCATTGTAAGTATCAACTTTACCTGCTGTACCACAATGCCAGCCCTGAAATTACATAGTTCATCAATGAGAACATGCTGTATCTTTTTTCTTTAAAAAATTACATTTTTAAAAAGCCTTTTCTCAAGTCATTAAAAATTATATCGGTACAATTTCTTGTAATGTGTGTATCATATCCCATTGTATGTATAAACACACTTTTATGTAACAATCTTTACTGTATATTATGTATTCAGGATGTTTCCATTTTTTGGCTTTAAATGATATCTAAATGAATGCCTTTGTATAGCTTTTGCCTACATATTTTGGTTTACTTTAATAATAGAGTGATGTCATCTTCATGATTTGTAAAGCTTAATTACAACATAAAAAACCATTTTTACACATGATGTTGAGGCAGAGGCTAGTTATTATGTTTTTTAACTATAAAAATTATGATTAAACACAGACTGTCTGGGAGTATCAACTAAAGTTACTCCTATATGTCCCAGCAATTGCACTCCTGGGATGATACTCACCAGAAAGGACGCCTGGGTTCAACATATGGGTTATCTTTCGGGACTTTGATTGAGAGGGGAACTTTAAGGAGGCTTCTGGGCAGCCTACTCATGATTACATGGGTGTATTTGTGTGTGTGTGTGTGTGTGTGTGTGTGCGCATGCTGCATTTTCCTCAACTCAAACACTTCATTTGGTCATTTCAAGTATACGACACTTATAAACTTATACTTCAAGAAAGTTAACATGGCCAAGATTATACCAAATTAATGCTTTCCCACTTTTTTGTTGTTTTATTTTAAACTTCAAAACAGATAGGCAATACATAAAAGACAGAGAGGCAGTAGAGAAACTTCAGGAGCCACTGCTCGACGTGCTGCAGAAGCTGTGCAAGATTCATCAGCCCGAGAATCCTCAACACTTCGCCTGCCTCCTGGGTCGCCTGACAGAGCTGCGGACGTTCAATCACCACCATGCGGAGATGCTGATGTCCTGGAGGGTCAACGACCACAAGTTCACCCCACTGCTCTGCGAAATCTGGGATGTGCAGTGATGAGCTTCGCGGGACGGGGTCGAGCCCTTTCTCCCTCACAACATGAATCTGATGTCTCACTTTCCTTCATTTCACTTGTACCTGGTTTCCCTCAAGGATCTTGATGAATATTTATGTACTAATTCTGTAACTTCCACAATTCTAAGTGTGGGGGTGAATAGAACTATTTTCTCTACACAGTAGTTTACAAGGCTTCCGGGGCTCCTGCGTTCTAATTGGCCTGCCCTGTTTGCCTGATTAAATTGATTGTTACTTCAAATGTATCTGTTGAACTAGGGAGAACTCTCATTTGGCTCTTTGTCTTACCATGTTGCATATATTTTATTAAAGAATTGTGTTCAATTTTGGTAATAAACAGAGAATAATGGCGACAGGATTCTCTTTGGGAACAAAATTTTACAAATATAGAAACTCATTTCTTTAAATGATGAAAGGAATTCTCCTGAACCACAGGGTGTAATTTATAGAAAGATAAACTTTCACAACATAAATGACACTTTTCTCATCCCTGGAGGAGTTCTAGTTAATATTCATTCATTTGTAATAGCCCTCTGATCATTTCATTTTCTTTGAAGTTCAAAGAGAATTGCACACAGAAAAGCTAATGATTTTCCCATAAAATATTCCCTGAGGCAATCTCTTTCCTGATAGCCAGGCTTTGAGGCAGCATCCACAAATTCAGAGTATGCAGAAAACTAAGAACATTCCCTTTTCCCTTTTAAAAGTGCTCACTGTCGGCTTAGGCGCATACATACAATTAATCATTTTTTTTCATTTGTTTTGTTTTGTTTTTGAAAACACTCCTGCAGCTGGGTGCACAGCTGCTGTATCCTTCCCCCAAAGCAGGAATTAGCTCATTTCTTTCCTTCATTGTTATATTGTTGCATTCTTTCCCTTTTATCCTCTGGTGACTATAATAAAACACCTTCAATAAATAATGGGCTTATATTTCCCTTTCTCCTGAAGTCAGCCAAAATGGAGTTTGCTTAGAAAACAGAGTTTTTGTATTAAAGTACTCTGGTAATGCTGAAATTCTAAAAATAACAGTCAGTGTGAAAGGGAGGGAATTGGGGGATAGCATCAGTTGGATTCTATTTGATACAACACAAGTATCTTGAGGCCCTATCAAGTGCGACTTTTTTTTTTTTACTAAACTCCATAGGGAATACAAACAAGACCAAAACCCAGTAACTTCCTGGAGAGGAATGAAAGTAGGGGCAGAGGAAAGTGTTGGAGGTTTACCCAAGCATCTGAGAAAGTCTCATGGAGAGGGTGGCATTTCCATTGAACTTCAAAGCAGAGCCCAGAATTCTATGGGTTGTGGTAAGAGAAATGATGGTTGAAAGTAAAAGAGGGACAGGAACAAAAGAAATGGGAAACTGTGCAGATATAAAAGATCATAAGTAATCTGGGAGGAGAGAGTACACTGGCCCTTTCTAAGCTTTAATTCCACCATCAGACAACGAAGCTAGCACCATTTACTGCTCAAAGGAATTTAGCTGGTTAATGGAGAGTAAGTGGGAAGCTTCAGGCCCACCAGAGAAGGATGGTGAAGAAAGAAATGAATTTCTGGATGCCTGGAAGGGTGAGCTGGTCTAGGGAATCATAGATCACAAGCTATCTGTGGAGGAAAATGTTGGAAAATTAAGACAGGATAGAATAGGACTCACAAAATCAAGCCCCTCCCAACGTGACATGTATCCATCTCTAGGTCCTAACCAGACAGGAGTGATGAACAGCCACACTGTAACAGCATAAGACCACCCTGCTAGAGACTTCCTCAACCTGTATGCCTGCCAAGAGTAGTCCAGTAAGACCAACATATCCTCCTGGGGAGGTGGTAGTGAGCAACACTTCCACTTTGAGCATGTTGTGTGTAAAAGAAGCAACTGCACCTGAACTGCTCAAGTTAGATGCAAACCAATGAGCAGGAGACAAGAGGGCATGGCATAACTCCCCAACTAGTAGAAACTATTAACACCACGCTGTCTTCTTGTGATGAAGCATAAGCCCCCAACAAACTTGGGGTTGAACATAGACTTCTTGTCAATTTCTATTTGCAAGTGAGCTAAGAAACCCCAGGTTAGCATCAAAAATGGGGCACTGTAGACAGAAATGGAAGCTTAAGCTTTCATGGATTTATTCAAGCATCAGAATGCTTCTCATATGGAAAACTAATTGTGGTACTGTAAGAAATATATATTTGGTATTTGTCTCTGATTCCTGACACAGAGCTCATAAAACTCCAGAAATTTCCTTAGAGGGAGAGGTAATAGGAACATATTTGGTACTCATAATAAGCCCCCTTTCAACCATATCTAAATTTATGCAAATAATGTAATTCCTCAGATAGCTTCAGGATGAGGGATGGTTGTTAGAGAAACCTGATCCTATGATTGGAGGGTGGAAGTTTCAGCTTTAACCCCTACCTTCTTGGGAGGGGAGAAGGGCTGGAGATTGTTTTTGGCCATTGAGTAACTCAGTCATGCCTAAGTAGTGGAAGCTTCACAAAACCCCCTAAACAAAGGGGTTTGGAAAGCTGTGCCAGTGAGCACATTGAGGGTGGTTTGCATGGATGCTTCAGGCTCCCTCCCTTGCCTTACCCCATACCTGGCCCTGCATATCTTCCATTTGGCTGTTTCTTAGTTCCTGTATCCAACCTATACCGAGAATAGTGAGTAAACTGTTGTGCTGAGTTCTGAGAGTTCTTCTAGCACACTAATGAGCCTGAGTAGGTGGAACCCCTCATTTATGAGTGGTTGGCCAGAAGCATCTGAAGTGGGGACAGTCTTGCAGGACTGAGCCCCTACCCTGGAGATCTGTGCTAACTCTGGACAACTGTCGTGTCAGAACTGAGTAGAACTGTAGGACACCTGGTGTCAGAACTAGTTGGTGTGGAAAATGACCACACATTTGGTCTTAGAAGTGCTGTGAGAAGAAGTTTGCTGATGGATTTTCTGTTTCAGAAAGAATTTTTATGAGACTTTAAGAAAAAAAAAGAAGAAAATCATGATAAAAGTTTGAAGTCAGAGATCATATGCATAAGAGATATGGAAGAATTAACTGGACTTTATGGCCAAAAAAATGCCTATCATTGAAAAAGAGCATCACAGAAACAGATCTGCCACTGATTAGCTACTGACCTTGTAAAAAATAAAAAATAAAACGTTTTTAAAAGCCTCTTTAGGCCTCAATTTCCTTATGTGCAGACAACTTGCTTTTCCTACCTCACATGATAATCTTTTGAAAGGAATTGATTTGGTAGCACATGAAGTACCAAACACCTAAATGGTAGCCATTATTATTAAAATGGACTTAATTGATTTAATAATTGCCAGTTATTAAAATTGGCAAGCTGGTACATTTGTTGTCTTCGGACTATCTCTTGAGTTTTGATGTAATAGATTTATGGCACCATTCATGGAATATATAAACTAACAAAGACAAGGAATTAATAGATGAAAAGAAGTGCAAATTTTAAGTGCTGTGCAAGAAGACTGTCTCGCCCTCTCTGATGCATCCTTTACTGGTAACTTCCCACACTGTTGTCAGAGATTCTTCTAAAATGAAAATCTGGTTGTGTTGTGAGCCCCACACCCTAATGGTTTCCCATTGGCTTCAGCAAAAACTCCCTGGCAGAGCAGTTGGCTATTGAGACCCTTCAACATCTAGTCTTACTCCCGCTTGTCATCTACCCCTGCCTAAATTCCAGGTAAAATGTACTTCCCAGATCTCTGCATTCTCTTAACCAAGTGAGAAAGAAAGAAAGAGAGGAAAAGACAGCAGAGAGAAAGTAGATTTTTTTTTCTCTCTCTCTTATAAGTCCATTCGAGTTGACTACAACTGAGTGTGTTTTTTTTTTTTTGTCTCCCAGGGGAAATGGGTCAATGTTTGGGGACAGTTTTCGTTGTCACAACTGGGCAGTAAAGATGCTACTGGTATCCAGTGAGTAACTGCTTGAAATGCTGCTGAACATTCTACCATGCACAGAAGAGCCTCCTACAGCAACCGTCCGGCCTGAAATGTCAGTAGTGCCTGAGACGAGAATCCTGCTCTTTCTCATCTTGTAGTCCATTCACGGTGCCATACCAAAACACTATAAACTGAGTAACTTATAAACAACAAGAGCGAATTTCTTTCAGTTCTGGAGGCTGGGAAACCTGAGGACAAGGCATCAGCAAGTTCAATGTCTGGTGAGGGCTTTCTGGTTCACCGTGCCTTCCCACGGTGTTTTTACACCACAGAAGAGACTAGCTACCTCTCTGGGGCTTCTTGTGTAAGGGCACTAATCTCATTCAGGATGGAGAAACCCTCATCACCTAATCAGCCCCCAAGGGCCCTATGGCCTAATACTGTCACCCTGAGGGGTGGAATTTCAATATGAATTTTGGGGGGATACAAACATTCAGACCATAGCACATCCCAAGATGATACGGCTCCACACTGTTCTCTCTCCTGACTTTATCTAGCTACAACGTCATTCTTGCATGGTGATGGTTTTCTAGTTGATGCTAATATTCTGTGAACCCAAATATGAGAGGTCTTCTAAAAGTTCGTGTAAAATTGCATTATCTTTAGTTGCAATTTTTGCACTTTTGGTACTGGCACTAGACATTCTTGAAGTTTTCTTGCTGAGAATCAGAAACCAATTTCACTCATTGATTCTCTAGTAGTGGAATTTTACCTCCCCTTCCCAGAATTTTACAAAATTATAATTTATTCTTTTCTCCCTATTATGAGAAATAATAAGCTCAGACAATTGTCATATATCACATTTGGGTGTTAGCTGACTGCAATGTGTAGCTGTTACTTTTTGGACACCTAGAACTCATTGCTTCTTTTTCTGTTAACAGTATTCTAATCTCCTCTGGGGGACCATTCCTTTCCTTTCACAAGGGTTGTGCATTTTTGGATGGAGTTGAATCACCCCAACTCCAGAACTGGAAATGTGACTCAGGGAAAGCTAATCGGAACATCACACATTTTAGGTCAAAGTGATAGGTTTAGGACTGGGTATATAACCCATTTGAAGAAAATGAGATATTTTGCTTGGAGTATTTTTAAGAGGCAGGCAGTGATAGTCATTTGCGTGTGTGTTTGTGTGTGTGTGTGTGTGTATGTGTGTGGTATTACTGTTCCAAATTCTTTAATCTCTCCCTGTAATAAATTTAAATGCCTAGACCTAATCTCTCACAAGACTAGGCAGACCACACACCCCCGCCCACTGCTGTTGGGCTTGTCCACGTGGTTTGCTATGGGCAATGGAATGTGGGTGGAAGTGACAACGTGTCAGTTCAGAGATGAGTCCTTAAGCGGTGACATCACATGTTGCTGCTGGCTGCTCTCACACTTCTGCTATCTGCCATGAC